AAAAAAAAAACAAAAAACAAAAAAAACACATTAAAAACAAAAAAACCATTAAAAACATAAAAAAAACACATTAAAAACAAAAAAAAACAAAACATTAAAAACATTAAAAACATTAAGGTAAACCTATTCCAAATACATTTTTAAACTATTCAAATGATGAAAGTTGTTTTTTAAGCGTTTATTAGCGAGTGGGAAACACCAACATGGCCGCCATCTATTCAAATGGGGGTAACCGCTGGAATATTCTTGACTTCAATTTTACTAAAAGAGATGCACTATCTAGTCTATATATACGATATCTATGACTAGTAACTGCCGTCTACTAATCAGCCGCTTTCGTCTTATTTGCACTATCTACGCTGGCACAGATCGTTCTTTCATTGTCTCAACTCTCGGAGAAAATCGGAAAGACACTTTCGCTAGAATTGTCAAACTAGTGTCACATATTATCGACAGTAGTACTCACGCTATCCTCTGATGATGAGTATTTGAACTGGGTACTTGTGGCGACCATGACGCATTTCCGGGTGATGGCGCGAGCACGGCAGGGGATGGGACACCAGTTTGTGGTGTAGCTGGTGACGTAATAAATTGATAGGGTGTTGCTGGTGATGGGATGGCATTGAAATACGAGGCAGGTGATGGTGCGGGTATATAAGTACTGGCACTAGCGGCAGGTACTGGGGCGGTTAAGAAGTTGGTGACTGTAGGTGACATAGGGATAGCAGGTGATGGGACGGGGAAATTCAGTGAAGATAATGTCGTTAAACGCGGAACAAGACCTGAAAGAAATGTTGATAAAAATTTTTACAACAACATTACGTCTGGGCTACGTCTGGGCTATGACGGTACCGCAGTTTGTATCTAACTCATTTTATTTATATGGGGCTTATATGAAGAATTAAATAAAGAAGAAAAGCATTGTTTTGCAACTCTTATATCGTTACTGTTCTTCTAGTTTACGAAAGCGTAAAATAAACAGATGTAAGGAAGCATTAGATTTATCTACATGAGTGAATATATCAAACATGTATGAATTATGCTTTCGTGAATTTAAACAATGTAGTAACTAGGCATGCGAGTTACCCAGTTGTGAATTGTGTGCATAAAACGTTGAAAAAATATAAAAAAATCCATGCAGGACAGAAACTCCCCTCCCCCTCCATCACCCCCTTCACTTTTCTAATGGACCGTCCCTTAAGGTGGCTCCCTATAGTTTTAGGTCTGTGTCGCGGAAATTTTGTCCACGCGCGAGATTAGTGCTACACGTAACACGCGTGGTTGACGTTGCACGCGTGGAGGGTTTTTTAAAATTGCGTCGTGCGTGATATACACGCGCGAGCCTTGGGATTGTCGGCTGGCCTCGCGAGGAAATTGAAATCCTGATTTTTGTGACGTCACATAGATAAAAATAAATGTATTTTTCTCGTGTTTCCTTCGGTAAAATTTTTTAAAACTTCACACACTTTCCTGTAACTTGAAGTGCGTAAAATGAGCAAGTTTTAAGAAAATCGTACGAGCCGAATTTTTTTTATTCTAAAAACAGGGCTTTTTGAGGATTAAAAAAAATTCTCGTACGATTTTTTTAAAATGCTATCATTTGAAGGAATTATAGATAAGATTACTGTGTGCAAAAAGTTAAAAAGTTTTACCGAAGAAATTTTCAAAAAATTATCAAAGAATCTGCAAATTGACCCTTTTTAAAATCGCTTTGTTACCATGGCAACGGGGATTTTTAACGACATTTTTTATTTTTCGTAATTGGCGATATTGTAGCAGTTGTGTGGCCAAGTTTCGTGATCATACTTTGCAAGATGATAAAATAATGGTTTTTTAAATACAATTGTGTGCTGTACAATCAAAACTGTAGGGAGCCACCTTAACTACTATAACATCCAGGGCCTTTGTTCGAAATGTCGAGAATATTACTTTTCAGGTAGTTGCATCATACATGCATCCAAGCCCACCATTTCCGAATTATGGTCGAATACCCACAGACATGAGTACGTCCAAAGTTATGTTTGTATTACAAATTTAGTACGACACCTCGACTTGGAGTGATTGTTTGACAACTATACAGAATATAGGGATTAATATAGGCACATTTCTACTACCGGTAGCAAAAAAGTCAATCTTCAATTGAGTTTTGAAACTCCTTCTTTCTCCAGAATTCTACTTTTCACAATATGCTTTGAAATAGGAAAATACTTGATCGTTGTATATTCTTTAACACGCCATTAAAAATCTGTTTTAAAATGGTCGTAACCAATGTTATTTCACCGCAACCAATGTTATTTCATGGAGGCAAAATTAAGAATTTAGACAACAAGGTAGTACACTAAAATGCTTGTATTCATCCCTGAGAATAATTCGGAAATGATCTATTGTTTTCATCGCTACCTACACTGGCGCTCAACATTCAAACTTATATAAACAAACGTTAGTCGATTTAATGTATGGACATTCTGGGTGCAGCAAGCATCTGAGTGGAATACATATCACATCACAGCAACTGGCGTGTTTCAATACATACCATGTTTCGATGAAGAAATAGGAGCTGATCGTAGCTCATTATATCCAGTCGCATGTGGGAGTCTAAAAACACAAATATATAACAACCTTACTATGCTGTACTGAACTACCTTTCAACATTACATCTTTTCATCTTTATTTGTTGTGTACGTTAACCGATGTACATCTGGGGTCGCTGTTCGAAAGCCGGTTTGCTTAACCCCAGGTTAACCTATAAAATTGAAAGCAACTTTCCAAACAGCTTGTTTAAAAACTTTAGAAATCTCTTCTGGATCAATACCACGTGCAGAAATACACAAACTAAAACAGTGGGTTACCCAGGGTTAGCGCTAATCCAGCATTGAACAATCCGCCCCCGTACAATCCGCCCCCCGTACTTCTCAACCTCTTTAATAATTCATAAACAAAACACAAAGAGCCGTTTTTAAGAAGACTGAACTAAACGCCCATAAATTAAGCAATTATTTTATAGGGAAATCTACTACACTATTATCACACCACACTATACAGTATTTCATCAATGCATAAGACCACACCACTATATACCATGCATACGACCACACCACTATATACCATGCATACGACCATATCACACCACTACATGCGTTGCATAAGACCATACCACACCACTATATACCATGCATACGACCACACCACATCACTATATACCATGCATAAGACCACACCACTATATACCATGCACAAGACCATACCACACCACTATATACCATGCACACGACCACACCACTATATACCATGCATAAGACCATACCACACCACTATATACCATGCATAAGACCATACCACACCACTATATACCATGCATAAGACCATACCACACCACTATATGCCATGCATACGACCACACCACTATATAACATGCATACGACCACACCACATCACTATATACCATGCATAAGACCATACCACACCACTATATACGATGCATAAGACCACACCACTCTATATACGATGCATAAGACCACACCACACAACTATACTATATACGATGCATAAGACCATACCACTATACTATAGACGATGCATAAGACCATACCACTATACTATATACGATGCATAAGACCATACCACACAATTATACTATATACGATGCATAAGACCATACCACTTTTAGATACGGGGCATTTAATAGAGAGGGACGTTTCTCACAAAATGATGATTTGACAGCGTCTATTAGATACGGAACATTTATTACAGAGTGACGTCTGTGACGGTTTATTAGATAATTTTACTCCACATATTGCGTTATACAATACCTTTGCGTATTTTCAAAACGAGGTCCTAGGGCTGGATTAGCTAAAGGTGATGTTGACAACGACTCCCAGTTAAAAGCATATACATTTTTCATTGCGATTTCTGTATGCCCATCATTATATTGCTGTAAAAACGCCTAAATTGAATAAAGAGAAAATCTTATTCAGGTAACTCTCATGGCGGATGGGTAAGGAAATCAGGGTGCAATAGTTCGCGTACTTACGTACGGGAGGTTACTTCATACTATTCAGCCCTGCAAGTAACACGAAGGTACGCGGTACTCTTGCTATCTACTTACATTTTGCCGCTACCACATGACCAACGAACTTTCCAAGGTATTCAAAACTGTGCGTAAGTAGCTTGGGATTGCACCAGAGATGCGAAACGATATTATACCTGATTTCTTAGAACTTAGGACGCTTTCCATTAACACGGCCAGACTGGTCAAAACGATCAAATTGTTGAATGGAACACAAAACATTTGGGCTTCGGACCGGAAAATTTAGATAACATTTGAATGAGGTCCATTTTCGCTAGATATTTGAGAAACATAGACCAGATCTTTCCATTGATACAGAGAAAAGAATTTGGGTCTGACCGGTCAGACCATTAAATGGAAAGCGCCCTTACATTATAATATTTTAATTAGCATGCAAGAATGATGCATGTATACTGTATATTCTGAATTGCGTTGTTATGTACGCTTCAGATTCGTGTTCCTCAAAAGAAAACCTTTCTTCACATTGAGTGAAATGCCACCACATCACTTTTAGGTTCTCAGTTTTGAGATGATATCATTGTGTTTAATAACACGAATCTCACCTTTAAATTGTGAATTGGCTGTATTGGTGCTTGAAACTTATCCAGGAATTTTATAATGCGCACAATCTAAATCAGAAAATAAATCATTTTGAATATTGGAATGTATTGGTGATTTCTGAGTACGACACGCACGTAAAAGTTGAATTCGCTTTACATCCTACTTATGAAATAACTAAATTTATAAAAGGACAGCATTCAGTTTTGTGTATGATTTAATGTGTATTTGTTAAGGTTATTTGCACTTATATGAAATTTTAAGCGAAAAACGCGTAACTGGAATGCAGCCTTTAGGCAATGTTTAAAGTCTCTTTTCATGGTACACTCTAATTTATACATATACTGCAAATGTGCACGTTGAAATTTTAATTTCAGAATTGTTGTCTGATTTCTGAAATATATTATTTGTTACTATATAATTTGTCAACAGTTCTCCTGCAAGGCACGACGGAGATTCGTCTGGCAAGCGAGTTGTTGTTTCCTCACAAATACAAATACAAATACAAGTACTTACCTCTTACTGACACTAGTTGTTTCGAGCGGAAGTTAAATTCTAACATATAGTAGTCTTTAAACGACAATCTCGCGCAGCTGGAGGACTGGGGGAGAACGGAAAACGCTGGACTTATACTTAAACCACGGAACTACAAAAATCAAAATGAAAATAAATTTGTAAGAATTACTCCGGACAACATTCTAGATATGACAATTTCGAGCGGAAGGTTAACTATAGGCCAGGAACCGAACCCAGTCAGAGCTCGACACCTGGGGCGCTTTCCATTTGAACAAAAAAAAAAACAGTTTGCGTTTCCGGAATGTCCAGTGGCAAAATGGAACGCTACAGCGTGACAGTAAATAATGGAAGGTTTGTTGCTTGTAAATAATAGAAGGTTTGTTGGGCGCTTTCCATTTGACGGAAAACTTGTTTGAAAATCAAATGGAACACGTTAATTTCTGGAATGCTGTTCCTTTAATTTTGAAGAATTTGATACTGCCGCTCAAATCTCTTCTTTCAGCATTCGGCGAAATAAATCCAGACTCGAGGCACTGAAATGGTCGAGAACCAGCCATTTTGGTTTTGGTGGCGGTTTTTGCTCGTTGAAGACTGGAAAGCAGCAACCTAGTTGGGGAATGTTTTAATGGATGTAAAAATTTCGAAAAATTTCGAAACAGCATTCCAGATATTAACGTGTTCCATTAGATTTTCAAGCAAGATTTCCGGAATTTCCGTCATATGGAAAGCGCCTCTGAACTCTGTAGCTCAGTTGGTTAAGTTTGTTAGTTCTATCAAGCAAGATGCCCAAGGATGATTTCAATATTAAGATGTATACTTACCATGCCCAGTGTAGTTGGGAGTTTTGATAAGGAATAAAATGGGGCGCATGTTTCGTGAAGAGTCTAAACAAAAGAAAATAAACGCATAGGACAAATAAATTTACACCGAGAATATTTGTTAGAAGACATACTGTAATACAGTTACTTGTCAAAAGTTTGAGTACAAATATTTTGCAAAATTCCGTTACTGATTTTCCCAATAAGTTATTACATGTTCAACTATACATTTAGTTTAATTACTATAATAACTGGTTCGTGTTCAGTTCCGTTATCTGGGTTTCATGCCTTCGAATACTTTCGTTAGAAAACAACAGGAAAGACGAAAATGTTCTCAGTTTACCTGAATGACATAGGGAAGATTGTAATGTTTCGAAAATTCATTTTGAAGAACGTTCTTTATCATTTCATGTTGATGGCCAGACGTTTCTCCAATGTGAGAGAATGAGAAAGTAAAGGATTTTTCACCAACAGACCATTTGACAGTCACCTGCAAAGATATACAACATACATTATGCTAATCATTGCTTTAGTTTTACAGAATGATATTCCCACTAAAAGTAAAAGAGAGTAGATAATAGGTCCCCCCCCAAACTTTGAAAAAGTAGAACCCCCTCCCAAATTTCATAATTCCCCGTTGTGTGGTTTCAAACTGTTGTTGTGGGTGGTTACGATAAACGTCGTGGTTTGTCAAAACACAGAAAATGTCATTTCAGAGACTCCAAATTTCTACGACCCACCTAGGGCTTGATTTACCCCCAAGCTAATATTCTGTCGCCTATGAAACTAAAGCTGTTTGCTTGCTTTATACAAGCTGTTGAAGTCCCACCAGGAAATTGGACACTTGTTACAGAGTTCCGAACTCAAAAACAGTCCAATGCTCTGCCAACTACTGAGCTACGAGGCCAAGTCTGTTCGAGTGAGTGGTATTTCGGAACTAAGTCTAGTACCTTCGATACCAATGTGTTCGCGGGTTCGATTCCCACCGTGGTCAGGCTAAGTTTTCAGCCTACCCGGTGTGGATATCAGGGCTCGAATTTTATCGCGGCAATTGCCGTAGAGGGAGAACAAAATGCCGTGGATCATTGCACAACGACGGCAATTTTTTGCCGTATAGTGCAATTTTTATACTATTCACTGTGCATTACTACTTTGATACTTGAATTCAGATGTTGATCAAATCATGCGTAAATCACTATTTTAGTCTCAGTTTTCTTCGAAAAAAAAAACACTAAAAAAATACGTAGACATGTTTCTAGCTTGTCAAAAATCCAAAGTAACAATAAAATTAAAGTTTTATTACAGTAATTTGAAAAATGCCGTGGAAACTGCCAAAATTGCCGTAGACAGCTATTACGTTCTACGGCAATTTTTAACGCCATTGCCGTCGATTGATTTCAGGAAAATTCGAGGCCTGGTGGGTATACACTCAGAGTAACATCACAAAAAGAGTATCTTACTAAGTTTTGAAAACCTGGACCATAGGCTATAACCAGTTCTTTGTAGGTGAAAGAATGAACAGAACAAATGTAAGACAAATTGCAACGTGAATCTGAAATGGAAAGATATCAATTCTAATCTCTTCGTCGACACCCCCCCCCCCCCCCCCCCCCCCCCCCCCCCCCCCCCCTTGGGTTAACTACTAATATACTTACAGAATTAATGTAACAAAATTTAAGACTATCATGCAGAGAAAATAAGCAAACGAACCCAAAGGGTATAAGTGGGAACGGAACACTAAGTACCATCGCAGGACACTCCCCGAGAAATTAAATTATAACTAAGTTTATGTCCTGATCCTATGGCAGGGACAATCACGTACTGTACGAGGGACCACATACACGGCAGATTTACATCAACTATTGTATATACAAGAGTTTGAGAGAACTTTTAAAAGAAGACTGGAAAAACTAGTGGGGGGAAGTATTTTACAAATTGAGTTCCAGTTTGATTATGCTGTAGGATGCTTGAATGTGCTAGTCATGCACAGCTGTTAACCAAACTCACCTACTAAATATTCATCTAGTTCTTTGGCGTGTTTATATAACCGACATATAGACTTCCAATCATCCAAGAACATGCTCCATACAAATTTATCACTATATTCTTCTCTTGTCTCTTCTCGAGTTTTGCTTCCAGATTTATAGTACAACAAAACATGCTGCGAGGCATTCGGTTGGTTATGTTTAAAAGGAGGGTTAGCCATGATAAGTTTGAATAGCCATTGGTTACCATTACTGGTGTCATGAGATACCGTACAGTCGAGAAGATTTTTCTTTAGTTGTTTCACAACTTTCATATCAAAGTTTATTGGTGTTGGCAGATCCAGAATTCTCACAGAAAGATCAACATTATCTTTGTACACTTCATGATAAGGAATTTTTGCTTTGTTGAACTGCAAAATACAAATCAATATTTTATCGATCCATCCAACAAAACATGAGAAGTTAAAGTTAAGCTGGAAATATTTGAGAGATCATATACCGACCTTTGGAAAGGCGTTAATACAGATAATTATTACATATTGACGCGGTTTTCGGTGTTACTCATATGGCTAGTATTTAACAGTAACAATTCATTCTTCAGGATATTAATCTATCAAGATATTACCCTTGTACCAGGGATGTACCGGCTAAAAGTCTCATTTCTTGGTAATGCGAAAATTTCATAATACACTGGGAAAGAATACTTTGGAAAGAATCCGAAAAAATATATGCAGAAATTCATTCACAATGCAATAGAGCATTGGACTATCGTATCCCAAAGGTCGCGGGTTCGATTCCCACCGTGGTCAGCTTTTCAGCTTGTCCGGTGTGGATGCACACTTCAGAGTAACAACACAAACATCTGTTGTTACAAAATTAACACTTGCACTCACCTCGTTACATAAAATAAGATAAGGAATCCTTGCATTACAGATACTGTACACTTCCTCAACTCTTGGAACATAACGTGACACTGAACTTTCACTATCAGTTTTCAATCTTTTCACAGAAACATAATCCACCTGCAAAATATCACTTTTACTTTTCAGCAAAATGTAGGAGCATCACTGCCTTATCATGCATGTGGTCACTTTTAACGAAAATGTCTTTCTGTACGAACCTTTTCACTTGAATGCTCTAATACATCATTCACTCTTAGGAAAGCGCCTAGAAATGAAGTGATAGAGTTATTTTCATAATTTTGAATGCTCTAAATACATCATTCATAATTTTGAATGCTCTAATACATCATTCACTCTTAGGAAAGCGCCTAGAAATGAAGTGATAGAGTTATTTTCATAATTTTGAATGCTCTAATACATCATTCACTCTTAGGAAAGCGCCTAGAAATGAAGTGATAGAGTTATTTTCATAATTTTGAATGCTCTAAATACATCATTCATAATTTTGAATGCTCTAATACATCATTCACTCTTAGGAAAGCGCCTAGAAATGAAGTGATAGAGTTATTTTCATAATTTTGAATGCTCTAATACATCATTCACTCTTAGGAAAGCGCCTAGAAATGAAGTGATAGAGTTATTTTCATAATTTTGAATGCTCTAAATACATCATTCATAATTTTGAATGCTCTAATACATCATTCACTCTTAGGAAAGCGCCTAGAAATGAAGTGATAGAGTTATTTTCATAATTTTGAATGCTCTAATACATCATTCACTCTTAGGAAAGCGCCTAGAAATGAAGTGATAGAGTTATTTTCATAATTTTGAATGCTCTAAATACATCATTCATAATTTTGAATGCTCTAATACATCATTCACTCTTAGGAAAGCGCCTAGAAATGAAGTGATAGAGTTATTTTCATAATTTTGAATGCTCTAATACATCATTCACTCTTAGGAAAGCGCCTAGAAATGAAGTGATAGAGTTATTTTCATAATTTTGAATGCTCTAAATACATCATTCACTCTTAGGAAAGCGCCTAGAAATGAAGTGATAGAATTATTTTCATAATTTTGAATGCTCTAAATACATCGTTCATAATTTTGAATGCTCTAATACATCATTCACTCTTAGGAAAGCGCCTAAGAAATGAAGTGATAGAGTTATTTTCATAATTTTGAATGCTCTAAATACATCATTCATAATTTTGAATGCTCTAAATACATCATTCATAATTTTGAATGCTCTAATACATCATTCACTCTTAGGAAAGCGCATAGAAATGAAGTGATAGAATTATTCTCATAATTTTGAATGTTCTAAATACATCATTCATAATTTTGAATGCTCTGATACATCATTCACTCTTAGGAAAGCGCCTAAGAAATTAAGTGATAGAATTATTTTCATAATTTTGAATGCTCTAAATACATCATTCATAATTTTGAATGCTAATACATCATTCACTCTTAGGAAAGCGCCTAAGAAATGAAGTGATAGAGTTATTTTCATAATTTTGAATGCTCTAAATACATCATTCATAATTTTGAATGCTCTAAATATATCATTCATAATTTTGAATGCTCTAATACATCATTCACTCTTAGGAAAGCGCATAGAAATGAAGTGATAGAATTATTCTCATAATTTTGAATGCTCTAAATACATCATTCATAATTTTGAACGCTCTAATACATCATTCACTCTTAGGAAAGCGCCTAGAAATGAAGTGATAGAGTTATTTTCATAATTTTGAATGTTCTAAATAATACATCATTCATAATTTTAAATGCTCTAATACATCATTCACTCTTAGGAAAGCGCCTAGAAATGAAGTGATGAGTTATTTTCATAATTTTGAATGTTCTAAATACATCATTCATAATTTTGAATGCTCTAATACATCATTCACTCTTAGGAAAGCGCCTAGAAATGAAGTGATGAGTTATTTTCATAATTTTGAATGTTCTAAATAATACATCATTCATAATTTTAAATGCTCTAATACATCATTCACTCTTAGGAAAGCGCCTAGAAATGAAGTGATGAGTTATTTTCATAATTTTGAATGTTCTAAATACATCATTCATAATTTTGAATGCTCTAATACATCATTCACTCTTAGGAAAGCGCCTAGAAATGAAGTGATGAGTTATTTTCATAATTTTGAATGTTCTAAATACATCATTCATAATTTTGAATGCTCTAATACATCATTCACTCTTAGGAAAGCGCCTAGAAATGAAGTGATGAGTTATTTTCATAATTTTGAATGTTCTAAATAATACATCATTCATAATTTTAAATGCTCTAATACATCATTCACTCTTAGGAAAGCGCCTAGAAATGAAGTGATGAGTTATTTTCATAATTTTAAATGTTCTAAATACATCATTCATAATTTTAAATGCTCTAATACATCATTCACTCTTAGGAAAGCGCCTAGAAATGAAGTGATAGAGTTATTTTAAATTCATAATTTTGAACGGTCTGTGTATTAGATACAACTATGAAAGATACAACTATGAAAAATACAAGCAGAATTTCGACGTTTTGAGCCAAGGTCGTCGAGAAATAGCGTGAACACCAACGGCTGGAAACAATTTGTTCCGAGTGACTTTTATTTTATATTCGCTGAAACCATCAGCTAGCAAAGGGTTGTATATATGAATCATTGAAATGGATACAGCTAATTTACTGGAACACTACCTTCAGATAAACTGCCTATCTTTTTCTTGAAGCCTGGAGGTCAGACTACGCGTGTTTGTATGTCATGACTGACAGATTGAGCAACCTTTGCAGCGTAAAGACTGGGACTGGCCTTCAAGTTTGGCTTCAAGGTTGACTTAACCGCTGCTTAACCGCTGCATTTATTTCTGCACGTTGTTGTGTTTCAAAACGTTAGAGTTTAGAAACTATAAATTTTATTCACCCAGACAAGTTTCCAAACAAGCAGTTGGGAAGTTTGCTTTAAAGTTTAATGCTAACCTACGATTAAACCGCTTCGAACAACTGACACTTGATTGGGTAATGGTAGCTGTAGCGAATGTCAAATCTGTACCTCTCTAATGTGACAAATCACACAACAGAATAACAAATAGTACAAGTGTTCAATGGCGGCACAAATGACATCGTACTTTACGTTTTGTGAATGCATGCAGGATTTATTCCACATTTAACCACGTTTTACCACATATCACGAGACACAATTATGTTATATTTATTAAATAAACGTCAACTTAGTTCAACTTACTGTCATTTGTAATGTTCGTAAGATCTGATATGAAATCAGAATCCAGTTTTACAAGTGGACCTGCTCTAAGGAAGAATCCTTCTACTTGTTTTTCTCCTTTTTCTGTGGTACTAGTACGTCGTGATCCTTCATTGCTTTCCTTCACTGAGGGATGGGTAGAGGTGGCTGGTTTCACTTTCAGCAGGTAATAATCTTCACTAAATTCCCTGATTTTCTCATCTATTTTCACTTCTAATACCTGAACAATAGAAAATGCAATTAATTGCATCATTTCTTTATAGGTTACGTTACCCCAGTAGGTTCGCACAGGTTAGCTTAAAGCGAGGTTAGGTAACACATGAAAGCAAATTTTCTATGAACGCTATAAGCAAATATAAAACTTTAGAACCAAAATACTGTGTTTCAATTTAACCCAGAAAGAGTGTGAATCGATCTTGGACATGCAAGTGTAGAAAAAAACATGAAATCTGCTAAAGATGTTAGGGGTAATTTAAAATCTGTACAAGTTGTAGAGATAGATTCATGGATTATTGTAATAATCATTTCATAGAGCGTTTGCACATGACGTCACAGCCGCCATGTTGGTGTTCCAATAGACCTTTCTCCTTTTGAGTGAAATTTTGATCTAGACAAGTCTGGACAAAAATTGCACCACAGCTTGAAAGAGCATCACAAAGATAGTAATATTCTGAAGTTTCATTGTGAAATGTTGTAAAATGCGGATAATATAGCCTTGCGAAGTTTGCCGTTTTTCAGTCATTTTGTATTACAAAAGGGAAATTGATAATCAGTTTGATCATCTGATTATCAATTTCCCGTGCGTAATACAAAAGGACTGAAAAACGGCAAACTTCGCAAGGCTATATTATCCGCATTTTACAACATTTCGCAACAAAACTTCGGAATATTACTAATTTTGTGATGCTCTTTCAAGCTGTGATGAAATTTTTGTCCAGGCATAACTAGATCAAAATTTCACTCACAAGGGGAAAGGTCTATTCAAAAGTATCTTAATTAGACTCGTTTGTCTGGAACACCAACATGGCCGCCATGGCTTTTGTTGAGTTGATTCCTGGGGAATGAGTGCAAACGCTCTACAACTCTGATTATGTTG